ATTTCAGGAAGGTGGCTCATATGTTGGGTAAGGAAACATGATGGTGAAAGGTGTCCTGCTTATTATCAAAACAACTTGCCATTTGGCAAATTTCCCATCCCATTTGATAAATCTAAATATTGTTATGGACTGCCTTCTCTTTCTGTCCAGATCTTAGTACTACTTCTGTTATTTAAAAGCAAAAAGAAGAAATATACTGACCCAGCATGCATGGCTAGTTCTTAGCAGCAAAGTTCTTAGATGAGGATGAAATATGGAGAAGCTCAGAAAAGCATCCTTTGGCCATTTGAAAAGATAAAAGATGTGTCTATAACCTGAGAACAACTATCATTTTCTGGGATTTTCTAGCAAAAAATATTCCATTGCTGCTGCTGCTGCTGCTGCTGCTGCTGCTATTATTATTATCCACAGAACCAGTGACAAGATAACTGAATCTATCAGAATCATTGAAACCACCGAACCCCTTTTCTTCACTCTGACCCACCTGGTTATGGCAACCTGTTAAAGATACTATAAAATCTTGCAGTATGATTTATTCTTCGCAGATCTTTCCAGGCCAGAAACCATTTCACTCTTCAGTGCACATCAGTCTGGAAATACTTCTAATATCTACAAGCCATTCTCATAAAGACAACATCCAGATCCATAAAGTAGTTTAAAACAGACATCCATGAAAAAAAGCCAGCTACAATTACACAGGCAAACATGGAGGTGCTGACCCAAATGCAACATGTAATCTCAAAAAGAAATCTCATTTATGCAATTACTTCATTTATACAGTTGCAGATAGATGGGTTATGGTCTGACTGTATTTTCTGCGGAAGCAACTGCTAATTCCTTTTAAGCATTATCTTCATATCTGGCGATATTGTAGTTCCTTTTAACTAGCACTCCATGTGCCCCAAATCTGAAGAACAGTTTCAAAGACATCCATATTTAACTGAAGAATTTTCTGAAGAAGATCTATAATATTGGTCTGGAAGAAGTGACTAGTGCTTATGAGAGTGGGAAAGATTTGTAGCAAACAGCAGGAGAGAAATGTGTGCAAAGGGAAGGCCAGAGTAGTGCAAGAAGCGGTTGTATGCATATTTCCAGGAATATGTGTGTAACAGTGTGGGATGGAAACAGCGTGGGGAGGATGTGCTCATGAGTTCATTGAGGCAAGAGTATGCACAGCCATTTAAATGTCAATCATAGTCAGAGGAAGGTGAAGAAGGATTCTTCCTGTTTCTTTCCTCCCCATAAAACAACAGGATAACCATGACTATTATCTCTTTCTGCCACCCCCATTATTCATTGCTCATCTTCCAAAGGCAGCTTGGCTGTTTTCACTTCCTTCAGGAGTCCTGTGCTGGCCAGCCGGGGACTCCACCTGTTCAGAAGCGAGAGGGAGACGTGGAGCTGGCATCCACCTGCTTGTTAATGCTTTGCAAGGCTCAAGCTGGAGTGGTGATAAAGAAAGGGGACGACAGCTGCACATCGCACTGCCCCTCTGACTATTCAGAACCCAAATCTCCTACCTTCCCTGGCGAGTGTGAATGAACTAGCATGGAGGTGGAAATCTCTGATGTCCTCTCTTTTCATCTTATGGGCTCGGGCACTGGTGAGAATAGCCACCATTTATCCAATCCCTTATAATAAACATCAAAGTGATAGATAACGGGGATGGGGCGGGAACCTCGCTCTCTGCAGGGCTAAGCCTCACAGAATGAAGGGGGAAAGGATGCCCAGGGAGGGGGGGAATCATGAAAACTGGGGTGGGAAAAGGGGTGGCAGAGTAGAGGCTGTTGCTTCCCCCCTTCCCCCTCCCCCCCCTTCCTTGCCGCTACAGCATCTCCTTTCCAAAAGGGCCCGGGGGTGGCTGAGATGGGAGAAACTCCAGTACCTGAAACTGGGGGGCGAGGCGAGGTGCAGCCCCAGGAACGGGGAGGATCCGGTCGGGGACGTGGCTCCTTTCTCTCTCTCCGCCATTCTCCCTCTCCATGCAAGCGAGGGGAGGCGGAGGGAAGGAGAAGGGGAGGCTGCTGATGCTGGCTGGCAGGCCGGTAGGCGGGCAGGGCGAAGGGAGTGTTCACAGCCAGACAGCGATTAGTTACCGGAGCGGGCGCGGGTGGTGGCGGTGCTGGCGCGGTGGCGAGAAATGGGATGGGAGGGAAGGGGGTCGCGAATATTTCTGAGTGGGCGGGGGAC